TTTTGAATTTTTGGTAAATGACTTTAGATATGTAATCAGCGACTCAAAAATCCCCTTGGTAAAAAGTGGTGTAAAGATCCATCAACGAGTATTTGTTTAAATAGTTTCGTCCAGCTAGATTTGCGATCCGAACCACTGTGGTGCGCTCGGTTATAAAAAAAGCACGAAACAAATTACAGACTGCAAATCGCTGTAGAAAATATCTATATGATAGCGTTTATTACTATCTAATACATATTCAGGTGAAAACTATAGTGAATATGTTAATTAATAACAATGCACATCACGTTCGATATATGAACTCATGTGCATAAAAATGTATGTTTGTCAGTACATTGTCAATATCTCGGCAAGTCTACACTGCCAAGCATAGCACGCGCGCATAGCAAGCAACGACAGCGGCAGCTTAATAAAGATATGAAAAGTTGCATACAATTAAATGAAAGTTACTTTTTTCATAAAATCTTCTTTTTTTCGCTTTGCATTAATAGCAAAAATAATTCAATTACTTCGTAATCCACTTAAGCGCAGTACAGCCAAGGCAGGCAAATCAACGGCATTACGCGGCACAAGTCACACAACACGCAAAAGACGCACACCTGTGCTTAAAGCATTAAGCGCATGCGCGTAAAGAAAGTAGAAATAAAAAAGTGTTAAGAAAAAAAAATTATTTAAAACATATAAACGGTCACAGCGGTCATTGAAAAAGGCGCGCGCTACTAAAACAATGCGGCCCAATAGCTGTACAAATGACAACAGTTCATAAATACCTACTTTTTTCTATTTTATGTAGACCCATTGCCCGTGCGTGCATCCCACTGACCGTCCGTGTTTGATTGCTAAATATGTTTGTTGTTTACTCCACCCACATACCAATGGACGCCTATTTATGTCGAAATTTGGCAGTAAAAGTATACGATTAGGTCAAACAAATTCATTTTTGGTGTTTGTTGTGCATTTTAAGCGACTCACCATACAATTTGTCATATCGCAGTTAGCTATTGCATGTAGCTATTAGGGTGGTACTTAAAATATTAACATCTACATTTCGTAAGGGGAACCCCTTTATTTTTTGTGTGCATACAAGATAGACATCCAGGAAAATTTCAAAGTTTTAAACAAATTTTTTGGGGTCGCTAGCAGGGTTTGACAAAAATTTTTTTAAATGGCAACATATTTTAAAAATTTCGGCTTTGACCGGGTATAACTAAATGCATTGGAATTGATTCATATAAATTCTTAAACTCGCTGAGTCATAGCTGGTCAAAGTAAAAATTTTTTAGAATATTTGCCATTTTTTAATAAAAAATTTTTTTGGAACTTTGGTAACGACCCCAATTTTTTTGTTTTTTTTGTTTTGGAAAATCGAAATTTTTGGGGTTATCTTCACTTTGTACGTAGAACAAAGTAAGTGGGTACCCCGTGATATTGATATTTTTACGGAGCACCCTAGTAGGTATGCATGCATTTGTACTCATCGTTTTGGGCACGTATAGTTTGTGGAATTTTTAGCTGTATGTAGCAATCACTCACCTACATACATATATACAGTGACTTAAAGAATTGACCACGTGTCGGTTTTTTAAATATTCATAATGCTTTTCGAGTTAGTTTTTGTTGTTATTTTTCTATAAAAATATTGTCCAAACTTTAATCAAATCCAAAGAAATCACAGATTCTAACTTTATAAAAAATTTAGTAAAAATCAACAAATTTTCATCAAAATTTCAACTTTTAAATCATTTTTGAGAATGCAGTCTAATGACAGTTATATAAGCATGAATTCATATAAGCATGAATTTCTTATGAAATTAAATGCGGAGACCGTTCGCAATAAAATTAAAAAAAAAATCAACCCGTTTTTGTGCATTGCACTTGTTATTAAAAAACCGCAAAGGCAGTCTCCAAAAACAATTTTCAAAAATCAAGTTCAAATTTTGATGAAAATTTGTTCAATTTTCCTGAATTTTGTATAAAGTTTGAAGCTGTGGTTTATACGGTTTTGGTTAAAGCTGGGACGGTGTTTTTATTGAAAAATAACAAAAAAGATTCAAGTCAATAAAATTACGAATATTTAAAAAAAAAACACATGGCCACCTGTTTGAGTCACTGTATGTATGCACATGGTTAGGGTAGGTCCAAATTCAAACACAATGCCGTACTGTTAGTTGGGGCAAGCAACGGTTTGTTTTTATGTTTTGGCAGGGAAGAAAATTTTACGAATACCGCAGATGATGAAACGATGGTCTCTATTAGCAATACAACGCCTATTACTGCGTTTATACGTAAGCTAAATTGACCGACACTGATCCAAGATAAGACCCATTCTTCTACGGGGTGACCGTATGGGGCTTGCGGTAAACCAGACATCGCCTGGAGCCAAAGCAGAACGAGTACAGAACGCGGATTCCATGCTCAGCATGGCAGTGCTGGCCACCAAATCTCTGGAAATAATTTTAAATTTTCGACCGGTGGATCCTCCTGTATTCTGTTTATATAGTAAATTCCCAGAGAGAAACGAATGCGAAAGTCCAACAGACTTAAGCCGAGGGTCGTCGGCTATACATATATACCGATGATTTCAAGCCTAACCAAAGAGCGCGTGGCGAGATTTACTCGTGCTAAACCACAGTTTCCGCTTACCGGACTAATGTGGCGTTTTTCAAGCAGAGCTTAATGCTATAAGGGAGCCCGTTCTGCTCACAAGCACCGTCCGAGCCAAGCTGCTATTAAATCTCTCAAATTTAATGGGACAACGTCCAAATTCGCCATAGAATACAGACGGATTCTCAACCTGCTGGCATTAAAATGCTTCTTGACTATTGTATAGGTCCCTGGGCACAGAGACATGATGCCTGGCAACTGCATAGCCGACGAGCTGCCAAGGCTAGGGACGGAAATATTAGAAGTCAATTCTGCTCAAGATGCGGGTATATCTCTAACCTCCTGCAAACAGCGAGTAAGGGCGAAACTCATGGAGGATGTAAATACCAGGTGGTCGGGTGGAAACCACCTGCCACACCAGCAGGCAATTTGACCAAAATTTATGTAAAAAGGTCCATAGCCCTCGCTCGGCAGGGCTACGCTCTACTCTCAGTTGGGGTAATCATTGGACACTGCCTGATGGGAACGCAGGGGCGCTCCCACTACTGCAACAAGTACTTTTTAGATTACTTACACGGCGTCTCCATAAGCAAACGTTTTTATGTATCTTGATAATGTTAACAGCAATATATTGCCTATGGAGACAATATTGCTAACGATAAGCAAAAATCAAGCAAAGCTTATATCCTGATAAATATTGCCGGCAATTTGGTAGCTTGACAGCTACATCTTCATTTTAATACAAGAGGAAAAAATGAGCTGTTTTCTATTGAAATATTAGTTATTATGTACTTGGATGTAAAATAGCATACTTTCTAAATTTTTTAAGTTATTAAATGCAGGCAAAATACTTGTTAGAAGCCATCTCACAATCGATTTTATCAAGATAAAAAATGCCCACATACAAATATTGCCTCTGATAAAATTTATAAAAGGCAATAAAAATGGTAGGCAATAATTTTTGCCTGTGGAGATGCGCAGTTAGGCAACGTGACTTTAGCGAACATTCTCAATTTTCTATGCTATATAAAACATACTCGGTGACTCAATTAATAGGAAAGGGAAAGAAACAAGTAGCTTCCGCCAGTAGGCCTTCATGCTACGCCACTAATGGCAATATTTTTGACGATTTTTATAACATAACTCTGAGAAGTCACAGTATAAGATATTTAGCTTAAGTAGGTAGTTTACAAAAATTTGGAACAAAATTTTTTCTATCACTTAAAAAGAACAAAAAAATGGATTTATAAAGAAAATCAAGAGATTTTTTTTTTTAAGTAATAAAACCACCAGGGGAGGAATAATTACAAATAGGAATCCAGACTGTTAACTAATAACCATCGAACAAATTCCAGAGGAACTACATACATACATACTTACTGCATACTACGAGTAATACCAATAAAAATCTCAAAGAAAGATGGGGAAAACAAAAAGAAAATGCAACTACATACATAGTGGTGGAAAGAAAACAATTTACAGTTTATATTTTATGAAATTTAAACATTTTATTAAAGCAATTAAAAACTGTATAATATATATGAATAAAGCACAATAATAATTTGTGACAGGTTACTTATAAAGTAAATGTATAATATAAAATACGAATAAGATATAATGGCTAGAATCGACCTTTTTTGATTTTTGGATGAATTTCGGGCAAAAATTTTCTTGTGTCATATAACAAAAAATATACACGGTTTTTTCCTAAGTTATGCAAAGTTATAAATTTCACAATTTGTTAAAAACTAAAAGAGTTAACACAATAGTTCTGGCCCTGTTTTAAAGGTGATATTTGGGGCTATAAAAAATATATTAAAAAAATTCGGAAAAAAAATTACAGAATTTTTAAATCCGAAAAAATGTTAAAAACAAACAAAAAATTTTATAAATTTTTGGCTCAATTGTTTTACACAATACCACTATCTAAACAATCTGAAAATATCCTGAAATTGTCAAGGTGTTTTGTTTTAAATATGAATTTATTAACTTAAAAAAAAAATATTGCGAATTCAACATTAATAATTTATTTAAATTAAATAAACATTTTTTATCATAACTTTATTTAGAGTTTGTAAAGATAAAATAAAAAATTAAAAACATCGAATCTTCAAAAACGTCTTGAACATTTCAGGATATGTTACATCAGTTCGAGGTATTGTATAAAAAAAAAAAGTTTGCCAAAAATTTGTGTACATACAGTGGCGCTCAAAAGTGGATGAATGGTGTTTAGTTTCTAATATTTACAATGGTTTTCAAGCTCAATTTGTTAAAGCATAAACCATATTTTTATAAAATAAACATAAAAAAACTTTAGCCTAAAAAAACATTTTAAATATTAAAAACTACACACCATTCATCCTCTTTTGACCGCCACTGTATGTTTTTGCCTTAATTTAAATTTTTTTAATTTCAAAATTCTGATATTTTTTTATTTTTCGAATTTTTTCATATATTTTTCTTTATTGTCCTAAATATCACTAAAGATCGATAGTGTTTGTGGTATTAAAAAAATTAATTTGCAAAATTGTAAATTTTAAATTTTGCATAACTATCGAAAAAAGAAATTTTATTTTTTCCTTTGACAGAACTTCGTTATATGACAGAACAAAAGTTCTGATCAAATTTCATGCAAACCGAAAATGGTCGATTTAACCTGGATTGACCTATATACTATATAGTAAGCAAGGGTAGATATAAAAAGTTAAAAGGTAATAGGTAAAAAAAAAAATCAATAAATGCAAAAACTACAGGATTTGGACTTTTATAGAGCCAAAACCATGGGGCCTACTCTATACTGCGATTCGAAAAGCCACTCATTCGGATTCGAAAGCTTGGCACTATGAATCGCAATACAGAGTAGAGTCCCAGAGAGGATAGGTAGATACTTATATTTGATAAATGATTTAATAAGCATACATTTGTATATATAATTAATATTAACATTAAAATGCACCAATTTCACCAGAGAAATTAAGGAGATGGCTACCGGTTGAAGTATGGTTCTGCAGAAGGTTGGATGTTTATTTATTTATTACTCGAATATTTTAGCGCTTCGTTCGTTTTAGTTATACTTTGCGTTCAGGTTTAAAGCACTCATGTATGTACGAGTACTTCGGAAATTGCGGCGCTCTAAAGCAACCTAATAGTTACCTCTTTACTGTAGGTCGGATAGAACTCCACCTGTGTTTGTATGCATTGTACGGCCTCGAGTTGTGCGACGCGTGTCGCAGTACAGACTTTAGTGGGTGTGCTTCGTGGGATGCTACCGCACTGTTCGGCGGCTAACGATTGCTTTTCGAACTTCTCCAAGAGTTCGGAAATTTTCGTTGATTTGCCCGACGCTGCCTTGTAGGCTGTTGTCGCAGCTGCTGTTTCTACCTTTTCCTCCTCGATCAGATCTGATTCGCAAAGACTTACACTGGACGTCGTGGATGTGGATAGCGTATGAATGGTCGTATCATTCTCATTCGATATGTGGCCTGAGTCATCTGAGTCAGATTCGTTGTTGTTGTTATGTTTGCGCTCATCAACCTGAGCTTCGCCAAGCTTTTCAGCGTGGGCTGCAGATTGTAGCGGCTCATATGAAGGTGTCGCATACTGTTCTTTGCCACTGTTTGTTGTTGCTTGGTGTTGTGACAGCTGTTGTGTAGTGTCGCCGTTGTCGCCGCCGCCGCCGCCGCCAGTTGTTTTGCCTTCACTGGGCGGCGCAGTCAATTTTGCCTGTACCACATTAACCAGCAACTCGATGTGCTTATCGGATGTCTCACCCAATACGGGTGGTATTATTTTGCAGAACTCCAGCTGTGGCTGTGGCACTTTCTCCTCATTCGCATATTTCAACTGTTTTGTGGCCGTGACAGCGCCCATGGCTGGGGAAGCGGCGGCGGTGGAGGTGGTGGCATTGGAAACGCGCGTACCTCGCAAAGTACCGTTGCTGCACGCATCTTTCGTTAATTTACCAGCTGCCTGCGGTGTATTGCCAGCGCCTACTGTTTTCACTTTCGTACGTGCGTTCGGCGCTGTCACTGTCGCCGCACCAGCACGTTTGGATTGCGATGAAGCAGTCACTGCCGCTACCCCTGCCTTGCTACTCGCCATTGTTGTCTTACGCATGCCACCTTCCGTGTTAATTGATTCCACTTTGCGCAAAATCTCCTGTCCCTTCTCCAAGCACTTGTCGAGTAGTTCATCGCGACTACGCTGTAGCTTACGCGCGCCTACTGAATTCAACGCCATGGTGGCACGCGAAACACTTCCGCTACATGGACTGCCGCTCAAACTGGTGCTGGAGGGCGTACGCCGTGGAGATATTGTAGCGTGTGCGCCTGAATTAAAGCCGATTGAAGATTTGGTTCTCTCCATTTGTAGGCGTGAGTTGGTGCGCGTTAGTTTTTCGCTAGGCAGCGACTTGCGTTTGCCACGTTGGCCAGCCGCGGTCTGGGTTTGTTGTTGCTGTATAAGAGTGGTTGAAGGCGTGTGCGCTTGAGTGCGCGTTGTTGAAACAGAACGCGAACGTGACTTGTTGCCGGCTAACGATAGCGCTGAGGCAGAACGTGCTTCCTTTGTCAGTTGGCGGCGTTGACTATTCGGCACGGCGACAATATCTTTCCTTCCAGACGGTGTTCCGTTCATTCCCACGCCATTGGGTTTCACAGCTACCGTTGAATTGTTACGACTTGGCAGCTTCTCCTTGCCAACCACTTCCGTCAAGGAAGTGCTGCAGAAGCTATTGCTACGTTTTTGTAATGGCAACGCTTTAAAAATTGGTATTTTACTATTTGCCGCAACCGCTGCGGAGTTGGGTGTCAATTCCCAAACTGATTTGCAGCGTGCGCGCGTAGCTAAAGCATAGCGTATGTTGCGTAGCGTAGGCGTATCCGGTGATTGGTAAACATTGCGTCTGGGTATGGCCAGCGAAGACTTAGATTTCTCCAAGCGCTTGGGACGCACTGGCGGTATCATGTGATCTGTAGTAGATTCGGTAGCGGTTATAGCGGCGCTGCTTGGGCTAGCTGCGTTGCTAGTGGCCGCCGTTGTTACTGTCGATGAGTTTTCGTTGTCAACTATGGAAATTGGGTGGTTGTTAGTCGCACGAATAGCCGCTACCGCATCTGCTGGATTATCTTGTAACTCAGCGAATTTTTGCACCAATGCTGTCGCGGATTGCGATTTAAGCACTTCTTGCGGAGTCACCGCAGTAGTCGAAACAATGTTGGGCTCTAAAGTGGGCTCGACCGACTCCAAAAATGTTTCTGTTGTGTCTAAACTTGTTTTACGAAGTTCGCAGTTCACGTCTTCTCTTGACCGATTAGCTCCGTCTATCTTCTCTTCATCCTTACTCTCTTCCTGCCGCTCGATCTCACTATCGGCGAATGCAATCGGCGGCTCTAAGGCCAGTAGCTCTAACTGCGCTGCGGCTGCCGCCTCCACAACAGCTACATCGCATTCCACATGCGGTGTTGTCTGGTTTACTTCACCCACCACTGGGTCACCATTGTAATCGGTGAGCAGACGATCAAAATTTTTTAACACCGCATTCAGTGCCGACTCATCATGCGCGGCTTTCTCAAGCTCCTCGAAAATTTCATCTTCCAGTGACTGTTTGGTCAAACTCAAGCTCAGTTGATATTCCTCATCGCTATCCACATAAGTGCCACTTTCATAGGGCGTGGAAGGCGACATAGATGTCGCGGATGATGCCTGTGCAATGGCGGCGCCATCAACGCAACCACCTTTACCCTCTAAAGCCGGACAAATAATACCGGAATTAGTCGCAACTTTGCCTATCGGCGCAGATATTTCACGCTTGCTAAGCGTTTTTGTAGATTTGCTAATGCGCTGACGCTGATGCTTCAACATGCCGGTGATGCGACGCTGTGCGTTAGACATCGGCGACGTCGCGGCGCCCACTTCTTGTCCCTTCTTTGCGGGCAGCGTAGGCAAAGTGGACTGCTTACCGATGGCGGTGTATTTGCCGCTGGTCGACTCGGCAATACTGAGTGAGTTCATTGATATTGAATGCTTGTGGGATTTGTAGAGTTTACCGGTGAGGCGGGGTGCAATATTATCCTCGATTTTGTGGCGGATTTTTGAGCAAAACTTTTGTACGCCATGCGTCTTGTGAGCGCTGCTAATTGAGGCGCTGGAGGATACATGCGAAGCGGTGGGCGAACCTGGAGAAATGGGGCTAACCGATGCCCTTTCCGGATGTGTTTTATCCATATTGTTTTTCACGTGCGTATTGGTGGAAGCGTATTACGCGTTAATTTCGAAACAACAAATTACACGAAAGTATTTTAGTTCAAGTCTGAAATTGCGTTTATTGGCGCATGCTTTTCATTTACAGTTCCTTCGCGGGCGCGCGCGCAACACTTTTACTTTTATTTTTCGCTTTTTCACTCAAGTCACTTAAGCTGATGCCAGATAAAACTTTGTAGCTTTGCGTGACATTTATAACTTTGCCAGCAAAGCGCCAGACGCAAAAGGTATGCCACAATGAACGCCAAGAAAGCAATTTTGTACCGCTGTTTTACTCGGTAAAAGTTGCAGTGGATTTTATATATTTTGCTTTAAAATTATCAGCAATGTAATTAAGTTTTATTTGGACTTGGAATTTGGACGAAACAAAATATAAATATTAAACCGGCTGATTGTCAAAGCGCGCAAAAAGATGGGAGTTGGCCATCTTTTCGCTTCGCGCTGCAGCTTCAACGATTTATGTGGCATGCTTTGTGCATTTTCATACAATTCATCTTATCTGTCAAAGCGAATCTGTCACGTAAAGCGAAGCAAAAGTTTTATGTGGCATCAGCTTAATGCACTTGTCGAGCTGGCGCCTCTGTTGGCTATTGACTGCCACTGCTGTCGCTGCTGTTCAGAGCCATTAAAAATCCATCTGCATTAATCAACGTATGAAGTGCATGCTTCATGCATTCGCGCAACTTGTTCCTATTTTCTTTTTCACTTAACTTTATTTCGTTTATTATTATTTTTTTTTGTTTCTCTCTGCAGTTAGTCCGCGTTCATACCGCTGTGGTTCGTTTTCGTTCGCGTTCTGCGCGCAACTAAATTTCTTCGTTAGGGAACATAGACGATTGGGGCATTCACTGCGCTGCCAACCAGCCTACCCGAGCAACAAACGCGCAACGAGCAAACATCAATCGAAAGGCAAAAAAAAATTTCACTAAACTAACGAAGCGCCGACTGCTGTTGCGGTTGCGGCCGTCATTATCGTTGTCGGTAACTAATTGTCATTATCGTCGTCAACGTGCAGTCATCGTAGTCTTTAGCACTTTCCTCGCCAGCATGGTCGTTCAAGCCACCACAGAAGCAACTCGCAGCAGCACCAGCAACAGCACCAGCCACAAGCCCCAGCAAGTGGCAGCAATAATTGTCGATGCGCCTCATATCAGCCAGCAGCTATCGGTAAGAGTGACGTTGTCAGTGTCGCTCGTTCGTATCTGCGCGCGACCACACGTATGTCGGCAATTGCGCGCGGCGCACACACACACACAGGCGGATGGTTTGAACACGCGCATTGCCGCGCCCGAGCGCGCTATCTATGCACGCAAGCCAAGCACAACGCACAGCTGAGCTGTTGACGAACGATGCGTAGTAAAAGTGTGAAATGTTGATTGCATGGTTGTGTAGAAAATGAAAATGGTATGTCCGTCGCTTAAGTGCAAGCATACAAGATACATAATTCGTATGGAATCCGTAGTGCAACATGTCGTCTTATCAAAGCTTGGTTTGAATCGAACACGAGACCCGCAGCGTCAAAATGCAGTCGTTCGAAACGAAAGTAAAATGTTGTGGTGATGCGTTAATTGTGCGCAATGAATTGTGAGCAGCAGAGAGGCTAACAAAATCAAAAGCAAAGAGCAGATAGCGAGAGCATTTTAACCCTTGTGTGGGTCGCAATATAAAGATGATAAACGTTTTACTGAGGAACTATTAGCGGGCCTTGTTTAACACTGATTCAAGGTATAAAAATTAAAGGGAAATGTTTGAGAAAAAGTTTGAGAGCACTCTCTGAATCAGCTAGAATAGGTAAAGCTGGCCCACCCGTAAGGCGACACATAGACCGTAGTTCCACCAGAGTTGGGTACGACTTATCTAACTCTTCGTCTCTTTGGCAAAGTGTAATATAATTTTAGTTATTTTATTGATCGCCGAACGCAGATCCTCTTTTAGTTCGAGCCACACCAAGCAACATGACTCGTATCATGTCGAAAAGATAACGTACTCCAATGTTTCTTCCTTGGTTTGACAACTCCTGCACTTCTGTCCCCTACAATACCAAGATCGAAAGTATACGACGTTGGCAGGCAGCGATGTCTGGTTAGCTGTCATAGCAAGGTCCTTGAGTAAATTTTGAAGATAAAAAGAAACAGGTAAGTTTACTGTATTCATATGACTTACACATTATTTTTGCATTTTCTTTCTACGCTCTCTCTGCAAGCTAACTACAGATGGAGTACGCCCTATCGGCGACATTGCTACCCCAGTTCCGAGGTCTAAGATGTGAGGACTCGGCAATCTCTATAAACCTCGACTTCATCCCTGGTCCCGACCACATCTTTTTAGAACTAGAATCGCTCCAGGTACGATCGAATCTGGTCAGGGAATGCCTGCCTTCTCTCTCACTCGCTTAAGATTACTTCCAAATCAAGCTAACTTGTGTCCAAGGACACAGTTACTTTGCATGAAACTGCATGCCTTTTGAATTGACTACGCAGGACATACTTGCAGCCGTCTGTACTAACAGAGATGGGCTTATATTCGGCTCAACGAACGCTGGGTTAAAACTCCGACATGCAAAGTTGCAAGGTCTTTTTTCCGGCTAATCGACCGTTGGCTAAGCGCCAACACTGGTTTAGGTTAGGAGGCGTTCTAGTTGTTCATTATGAATGCTCTCTCAAAGTAAGCGTCAAGAAAAGCCACATTTCCCCAACCCGGAGAGGAACCTCGGAACAAATATAAAATGAAGAACAACCAAAGCGTTGACGTGTTGAAGCAGTTGTAATTCCTAATGGAATTTAAGATATTGATTCCTCCACGTTTTCATTCCGGCGATTTCTGCAGGGACAACTTGTTGGTATTCCGCATCGTTTGAGCATCGGTGTAATAGCAGAGTGCCCTGTGATTATATTGGTAAGAACTCTAATTTAAGATTTTTCTTGAGACCCCACAATCATCTCGTTTGATCCATAAGTCATTTGTAAGGGAGGCTTGGAAGACACTGCAATCATTTGGAAGGCGAAAAAATTGACTAATCTGCAGGTCCTCTGAGTAGAGATCAGCGCGTCGGTTCCATATTTGAAACAGCAGTGTAGATGGATGTATCATCGATCGCCACTCGCCGACCTACATCGGATTCCTCTCTAGTCGGAAAACCTAGGATAACGCGTGCCATAAATTGTTTATTTCACTAAATCTGAGAGCGTCCTTTTGCGGCCACGCTTTGAATGAGAATGTGCATGGGTTGCGGTGAAAGATCTTTTTGAGGTACGCTAATCACCGCTGCCGATAAGGGATGTATTAAGAGGTCGGGTGTACCGATTCTATTGATTCTGCTAATTGGTTTTATCCTTGGTAGGAATTTATTTGAGATAAATCTTAACCCAAAACCTTTGAAATATTCGAGGTTAGTACGCCTCCCTAGCATGTGGCTCCTGTGGTTCTATTTCTGCCAAATGTTGTGCCTATAGATGCGGTTATTACTCTGCTCAACCACGGAGTAAATTCAAGCTAAGTACTATAAATATCTGAGTGAAATGTTGTGGGAGTGCTCTGGTTATTGCTTCAGTTCGGACATTAGTTAAGGCTCCTTCTTCGATAGTGTGCAGACTACCACTAATTAGTCTTAAGTACAAGTGCCTTTGGGATCAACTATGAAAAACTTATCGGTCTGAAATCCTTTTCCTGTGAGTAATTTACTTAATTGCACTGCCTTTAGAGGTGAATATAGCCCTTGTGTCCCTCCAAACATTCGGACCAAACCCATCTGGTAACAATCTTGAGAATAAACCAATTAAGCATAGACATGCGCTGTGCTATCCGGTCGCGCTGAATTGAACGAATCGATATAATTGATAGCCCAAGCTGCCTTAACCATATTCACTATGTTTGAGACATCTTCCATCGGCACACCAGCCCAATTTTCCTCTTAGATACTATCAATTTGGTCAATCGTAACAAGAAAATGAGTATCTATCAGACTCGTCAAGATAATCAGGGTTAGGCACCGCGCAAAACGCAAAAGTTATTTGGCCAAAAACACAACACAAAGCCAAATTGGACCTATTTAGGTAGTACCTATCGGAGCCAGACGGACATTTCCCAAGGTTCTAGAACACTTTTGCCAGGATTCTGTCTTTGCAGCTCTTACCCTACCGAACCAGGCAAACTCAAATAAAGTAGAAATAAGAAGGAAATATCTGAATCAGATTAGGAAGGATCGCTGTAAAAAAGCAGTTTATATGTTGGAATATCCAGTATCAGGACGCTGGCAGCGCCCACTATTTGTTTGAAGTGGAGCATTATAATAGAGCCATTGAGCAGTATGAAAACTTCTTGAAAGAGGCAATTAGTCAATCAAAACCAATAAAAACAAGCGAAGACTCTAAAGAAAACCCGCGATACGAGATAATCGGCCTTATGGCGAATTTCACGTGAACAAATATTCCAAAAAATTATAAAACAAAACAAATACACATTTTCCCAATTTGGTTTTATTTTCCGGGAACGATCTATTTACATAGAGTTGGCGATACGGCTGAATAGGTTAATTAGGAAGTGCCTTATAAATATTACAGCGCACATTTGTGGGTGAAATCTTTTAAATTTTGGTTACTTCAACAAGTGGTTCTTTGTAGCGAGTCAAATAAGGAAAGTGCGTTCATATTTTCAAAAATGAACTATTTATTTTACTGATTCATTATTTTCTTTGATGCTGCAACCCATAATTACCTTTTGCTTCTAATAAAAAGAAAACAAAATAAAACTAACTGGCTATATGGGGCAAGCAGTCAAGCGGCAGCGAAGTCAGGACAAAATAATAGAAGAAAGATTAGGCCAATTTGTACAAATCGAAGTGTTTATTGAGCTAAACAAAGGCACATGCATACATACTTACATACGCGTACATTTACCAAGAGCCATTCACAAGTTGAATACAAACAGAGTGAAGAAAAAGTTGCAGCTAATAATAAATGTCGGGAAGAGTGTCAAGTCATTGCACCTTTTTCACACATTTTCTCGTAGTAAGTGAAGAGCTGACTGTAACAACTTAAATGCATATGTGTGTGTTTATATGTATATTAGGCGGACTTACGTTTTGTACAAAAAAAAATTATTTTCTTTTCCCAAGCGCATTATAACTTTTTCGCTTAATTTATTGAAAA